GCTGAACGTGTTTCTACCTTCCAGCTACTGTATAATGGCGTATTGGCAGCGTTTTGGTATAAAGGGGGTTCACAGGAGGAAACCGTCAGTTCTCCTCCAGACTTCATCCCCATCATAGGGTGAGCCAGAAGGTGAGTGATGGATCCTCCCTGCGTTCACGCCCACCACCAACACACTTCCTAGCAGACATGACGCTCAATCTGCTGACACCAAAAACCTGCTTTCTTTGTTTTTATTCATCTTTGTTTTTTCTTTGCCGGGCGTTTAACAGCAGCTACGTTAATACCGCAATCAAATAAATCTTTTTCTGCAAACCGGGTACCTCCTGCCCCCCCCAGGACTCTGTGCATCATTTCAAGGGCATTACGCTGCCGTGCGTTATGCAGCAGTTAGGCTGTCGTTGGACTGAAGTTCTGGACTCATTATGAATCCTCTATGTTTACGCCCAGAATAGAGGGCATCCATAGAAAGTTCAGCGTCTGCCAGCGTTTAGGAGATTCTGGGACGTCAGGCAGACGCTGGAGAAATCAGACAGGTGTGACGGAGGCCTAAAGTCTCATTAAATTCTTTCCCTGTTTTAAGATAATCTCCATAATCCATAAAAATGTTCAGCACGCAGCTTTAGATTATTTCTCCATTAGATTAACAGCTGCGATCAGGAGACACTTCAGTTTCTAATCAACGTTGACCGAAGGTCTCTGTCGGACGCCGCGTGCCTCGGCAGCCTAAAAAGGGCGTAGTCCGGGTGATTACCAGTCCTGGGCGTGGTTGCTGGCCTCCTGCGGGGGCAGCGGGCTGGCCAGGCGGGACACCTGGATCCACACTGCGTCATACAGGTCCTTCTTACTGGTGTGGACCGTGCAGGGAACGATGAGAGGCATTCCAAACAGACTGGGCCGGTTCTTCTGAGACGACAGGAAGTAGAGCTCCGTACGCATCTGCAGAGACACAAACACGCGTGTGGCACGTTTACACGTCTGCACACCTCTTCTAAAACCGGCCTGCTTCCGGAGAATTCTCACCATCTTCCTGTGCATGGCGATGATGTACCCGATGAAGGGGCTCTCCTGCACAGGTGTGATGTGTCCGTTGCCAACGCCGTTGACCAGCGGCGTCTCTGGGCTGCTGGCCACCGCCGTGCCAGGCCCCCCGTTAGGGATTAGGTGCCCATTAGCAGCAGAGTCGTTGACTGTTGGCGTGACGTCTGATCAGAGGAGAGAAGGAAACGTACGATGATGATGATGATGATGCAGACGCCCAGTGAAGACAGAGCGCAGCGTTGGCGGGGGGGCTAACCTGTGAGCGTCGGGGAGCTCAGAGATGTTGGCGAACCTGGAACCGGCACCTCAAACGCACACAGGAAGCCGTTGACAGAGAGACGGACCTTCTGGTTGTCCTGAGGGAAGTTCTGAACACAGACGGTCCATGTCAGACTGCGGAGCTACAGCCGGAGGCGGCGAGCGGCTGCCACCGTGTGAGCGTACCTTGATGTTGGAAGCGTGGACCTCAGCCAGGAGGATCTGCTCGGGCTTCAGGACGCACAGCTCGCTCAGCAGCTTCTTCAGCCCCGTGTACTTCTCATCCATGTTCAGCCTCAGACCGTAGCGCACCGGCGTGGAGCCGTCCAGTTTAATGACTGCAGACACAACAACACGCGTTACACCGCTCCTCTGACCCGACGGGAGCTCCGCCCTGCAGCGTACACACCTGTGATCTCCAGATGCATGGAGCTGTCCATGGGCAGAGGCAGAGACAGGAAGTTGAAGGGGTCGAAGCGGGCGCTAATGTGGCCGCAGGTTTTACACTTCACCTGCGACTTGAGCTGACCGTGGAACAGATCCACCACAATGGAGCGGTTCCTGCGCAGGTGGTTCTCCCAGGCCTGCAGGACGCACAAGAGACAGAAGGTGAACTTAAAGGCTGCCATCTTTAAAAATCTTCCATCTTAGTTCAAATCTGTTCCTCTATTTTCATCTCCTTTGAAATTCATTGATTTAAATCTGGTCTCTTTACCTGCTGCATGTCTGCCCTCACATTCACTTCTGAAACCACTGCCCTCTACTGCCCCCTGGTGGCTCACATGATCATGTTCATTTCCCCTCCAAACACCAGGGAGCAGCAGCGCCGTTATCAGGGGTCTGCAACCTCTCATAGTTTTACTTGTTTCTAAAAAACACTGAAGCTGTTAATGCTGGTATTTATTATAGTAGATTATTTAGCCCTTTATATACATTTTAGCCAAAATCAAGAGCCGCTGGAGAGCGTCCAAAGATTCACATGTGGCTCTGGAGCTGCAGGTTGCAGACCCATGGTGTAGATGTATGATTAATAATCAAATAAAAAAAGTAGGGGAATTATATATTTATTTAATAACCGTAGAGCAATGTTACTTCCTGGGAGGATTTATTAGTTTCCTTCAAAAACAAATTTAATGCCGTTATTAATGATCTATTAACAAATGTTCAGTTTAAATATAAATCTCCCAATTACTATTTTGTTTTTAATAATTTCCTTACTTAAAGATGTATTTATTTGATTTAAACACATTTATTTCAGGATTTGAACTTTATGATGCAGCAATTGTAATCATTAGCTGGAAAATTAATGGAACCAATGAGGAGGATTGATCCAGTGTAAGGGAGCTAACTAGCATTAGCTAACACACCAAATACGGCTAAAAACAGCCTGAAACAAAGAAAACGGTTAAAGTCCTTGAAAGACCTAAAACAGCAAAAACATCCATTATAAAAAAACTAATACATAAATTAATACAATGTATCAGAGATTAAAAAAAATAATCTTTTAGAAAATAAAGCAAAAAAAAATTATTTAATGAGAATATTTTTTTATATATTTATTCTAACTTTATCAGTAACTGTATTCATTTAATTATTTTTAATAAAACACCTCTGAGTGAGACACTCAGTAAGGAAATATTGGGAATAGACCCAACAACCCCAGTAGTTTATATCAGAGGCAGAAACCAAGTCTGGACACATTAGCGCGTTTCATCGGATATGATGACGTCTTCTGCTCTCCCACCATTAAAACATTGGTTTGATCAATTGGTCTTTTTCTTCTTCTGCTTCTCTGAGGTCAGTGGGTGGATTTACCATTAGGAAAAAACTAGGTGCCTAGGGCCCCAAGTTCCTGGGGGGCCCATAAAACTGTGTTTTCCTGTATGGTTAATATAACTATTCCTTATTTCTGCACATTAATTATGTTTTTGATAAAAATCCTTTGGCTAAAATGCCATCAGAACGCTGATAATATTAAGTGTGTCTCAGCCCCCCCTTCAGCGTCCACCATATTGGATCAGTCCATTTGCTGCACATGTTCAGAAAGGTCCAAACAGACAGCAGCAAACCATTTGAAAACAAACCATGCAAAGAGCAGTGTTGCCAACTTAGCGCTTTAGTCGCTATATTTAGCCACTTTTCAGACCCCTCTAGCACTTTGATTTCTAAAAAGCTCCTAGCGCCAAATCTAGAGACTTTTTTCTGCTACTGGAGACTTTGGAGACAACATCTAAAAGCAGCGAACTCTGCTCTCCAGAGCGAGTAGATTGGTAACCCCGCCTCCTGCTCTCCTCTATCTTGTCTGCTGTCATGATTCATGCAGCTATTATTTCCTCCAAATGAAAAATGGAGAACAGAGAAGCAGATCATGGCTTGTCTACAGTGAAAAGAAGGACTGGGTTATTTACTTTGGCCTTTTTGGAAACACAGGAAGGAGAAATCAGCTAAGTGAGCTTAGTGCTTGGAAAAAATCTTTCATTCCTTTAGAGACAGCATGAAAAGTCAGCTGAGTACAAAACATAGAGAGGAAAACAAGAAGAAAAGGGACAAGAAGAGAGGGACACAACCTAGAACAGATAATGGATGTCTATTCTATTAACATTTATCTATCTGGAGAATGGGGCTGTTTCACGTGTTTTCCCCTGCCTGTTGTTGCCTAGGGCCCCAGATTTCCTAAATCCGCCCCTGTCTGAGATGATAATCCTCCCCTAAAGTCTAAAGTCACAGATAAACTGTGGGTTTAGTTCAGTTAGGAGGTTAAAATCATCTGCTGTGTGTCAGACCTCAGAAGCCACCTCCCAGTCGGGCCGTCCATCGCTGTCCTTCAGCTCCACATAAGGCTTCTCATGGACCCGGTTCAGATCTTCATGGAGGCCGTCGAGGAGGAACGCCAGCAGTTCCTGGGAGTCCTGCTGCTGGAAGCCGTTGAAACGCGGGGCGTACTTCGCTATCGTCCACTGAGGAGAAAGCAGGTAATTAATGTGGTTAATTATCACTTTGCTTTAATTGAAGGAAACAGAAAACGGTGCAGCCAGCAGCCAACGCCAGCAGGAGGGCCGGCGTGCTGAGGCCAGGCAGATTAGAAGGGAACTTCACCCTGAGTTTGAGCGGCGCTACGCTCTTCTGCGTCCCGCTCCACAGCTCCATCACCAGGTCTCCGTAACACTTGGCCATGTGGCCCCTCATCCCGATGGGGTTGGTCCTGAGAGGGAAACGGGAGACAGTGAGCAGGATGGAAACGCTGGACCAAGCTGAGGGCCGCCATAAGATCACCTGTTGAGCTCGTAGAGGTGTCGTCCTGAGAGGAAGTAGTCGGACAGCGGCTTGGTGTTGCTCACGCACTGAATGCTGGAGTTCATGAAGCACGTGTTGCCAAGGTTACTGAGGCCGGTCGCACCTTTCTCAGTGGGAACTAGGAAACAAAGTTTAACTTTAATCTAATAATCATCTAATGATATAAGAGTCAAACATGTTTGGATCCCCAATAATGCAGCAACCAAAGAGTTTACCTTCATCCAGGGAAATTAATCAACTTTCATTAGTAACGTTTTCAGATCAAAACCTTAGAAGCTACAAATATGATTCACTTCAAAATTAACCTAAAACCTTCTTGGTTATCATTGCAAAACCGATTTAAAAACGTATAAAAAAATCTTTAAAACGTCCTTCATTTGAAGAACTGAATCCCTGAGATAATTAGATATTACGCACTTCAAACAATATAATTTTTTATTGTTTAAACATAAATCAAACATCTATAAAATTGTTTTATTTTTTAATCATGAATCATCTGATTCCATTTAGCAGATGGCCTCTCCCGCTCACATCAACATCAAATACACTTAGCTGAACATAAATGAACTAATATTTAATTTTTGTTGCATCCTTCATTCAGAAGTGGAGAAGAAGCCCCTCCCCCTCCCGCCCGTTTCCCAGACAACCAGCTCACACTGTGCATCTGCTCTACAGATGCTGACAGAGTGCCGGCTGTGGGTCTCTGCTGGTGGACGCTCTCACTGGAAGAGGCGCTCCACTGGTTCCAACTGGCCCTCTGACGCCATCATGGAGGTCAGTAAAGATTCTGGAGAACCTGAAGTTCAGCTCATACCGCCTGAAGCTGTGACCTCAGAATGTGACTGAAGCAGAAGCAGTCTGAGGTTTGGACAATAGGAACCAGCTGCAGCTGATCCAGCATCCACCCCAGCAGACCCAGCAGACCCAGCAGACCCAGCAGGCTCAGCAGACCCAGCAGGCTCAGTCAGAGCTCCTGACATTAACTGACCTTTGTGTCGGTCCATTTTGCTGCTGTTGGCGATGAAGGACATCTCCTCCGGCCAGCTCATGTCTTTGTTTCTCACTGTGGAGGGGGGAGCAGAGAGAAGACATGGTTACTGACCACCGGCAGCAGATGGACGGATGATCTGGAGAAGCTCTCATACCCTCAATAACCAGCTGCTGCTCATCATGGATCTTCAGACTCTCCAGTGTGTGGTCTTCATCATCCAGCAGGGTGAGGTAGTTCTGAAGGACAAACATTAAATAACTGACTGACCAACGCCATTCTGCCTGAAGTTCCAGAATCTCCTAAACTCTGGCAGACGCTGAACTTTCTATGGATTCTTTCTATTCTGAGCGTAAACAGAGGATTCAGAACGAGTCCAGAACTTCTGTCCAACGACGGCCTAACTTCTGCATAACGCACGGCAGCATGATGCCCAGGAAATGATGCACAGCGTCCTGAGGGGGGCAGGAGGCGCTCGGAGGTGCCTGGTCTGCAGACAAATATTTATTTGATCGTGGTACTAACCTACAGTGGGGGAAATAAGTATTTGACCCCTTGCTGATTTTGCAGGTTTTCCCACTTCCAAAGAATGCAATGATCTATAATTTTAATCATATGTACATTCTAACAGTGAGACAGAATCCCAAAGAAAATTCTAGAAATTCACATCATATGGATGTTGTCATATGGATAAGTCTGGAGGAGAACTGACGGTTTCCTCCCCCTTTATACCAAAACGCTGCCAATACCCCATTATACAGTAGAGAATTTCTGGATAAGTTACGCAGAAGTTACTCGACTGATGAGGAACTGACACTGAACGGATGTCGACCATCAGATAACTGACCTGGAACTGATGGCCAATGGATGGCAGACGCTGGCATAGGGCGGGACATTTGGAGCATGCTCAAAATCTCTCGAGGTAAGTTGGCGTGTTTCAGCGTATCCATAACTTATCCAATGTATGCCTGCGTTTTTCTATGTCAGGCAGATGCTGGTCTAAATGATCAGGGTGTGACGGGGGTTTTGGCAGTGAACTAATCGGAGTCATTTTAAATGTTTCCGTCTCTAATTAACCTGATTTTCTTTATTTAGTTGCTAAACCAATTGATCTGAGATCCGTTATAATCATAACTGACCCACAGATCCACGATGGTTTCCTTATAAGGAAAGCTACCATCCGCCCCCTGGTGGTCGCTCACCTCACTGTTGTAGAGCCACAGCCTCATGTCCTCCTCCTTGATGCGGAGCCGCTGAGACAGGTACAGGTGGATGTCCTTGATGGTGCCCATGCGGCTGAAGCAGCCGGTGTAAGCCAGCATCCTCTTGAGGGGAGCGTTTGGAGACGGAACGTTTCCTGGAAGGAAAAACATGGATCTGATCAGGAAGAAACCTCACAGGACGGCAGCAAAGGAGAAGCAGAACAAGCTCACAACAGCCATCAGCTGATTGAGGATTAGTTGTAAGAAAGCAGCAAGAAAGGGACCGATTGGTCAATCAGTGCAGGCATGATTGGTCAGATAATCAGTGAATCAACCTGGCGAATTCTGGACTCTGAAATCAAACAATCAATTAGTCCTGTTATGTGGTTCTTCAGCGCTAGTTTCATTCCCTCCTTCACAGCTTTGCTCTTCCAGCCTGAGCATCATCAGGCCAGGGCTGGATGCTGCTCCCCAGGGGGCCGGGAGCTGATGACAGCATGAGGGAAAGTGGAGGCAGAAACCCGATCTGTTGACATGATTAATAGGAGCGGTGAGGTCACCCTGAGCTTCCCCAAGCAGATTAGGGTGGAGGGATGAGAAATGAAACCGGAGGTGAAGGGAAAGAGGAAGGAGGCTGAGATGGACCGAACCGCTGCAGCCTGCTTCATGTTCCCTGCTCAGTTCAGTCCTTATCAAACAGCTGACCTTTGACCTGATGGGGACAGTCTGGACTTGGTAGCCTTCCTGCCCCACGGTCCAACCCTTTCTACATAGACTGCGCTCTGCTACAGTCATTAAGGCCATGATGCCGACCAAGAATAAAGCCAAACGCTGGAACCTTTCAGTGATAACAGGAAGGGCAGCTTTAAAAACCAGCATCCTTTTCCTTAAAGTCATGGCTTTTCTCAGCCATGTAGTAAACTAAAGGAGGGGGAATGGCCTCTGCAGACATTCTGCTAATAAACTGAAGTCGGGTCCAATCAGACTTTTAAACAATATTCACTAAACCTTTTCTCGTTTTCTTTCACAGGCAAACAACACAAAGCTGTGAAGGCAGGAAAAACTACAGCTTCCATAATGATTAGCTTCTCCAGGGCTACTGGTCCCCCCCCCGCCCACTCCAGAGTGGATCAGTCCACACAAGGGAGATTAACGGAGGGAGAGGCGGGATTGTTCAAGAAGCAGTGATCGACGGCTAGCTGGGTTCTTGCTGCAGGCTTACGTTACCTCTGGGTGGGGGCAAATACGGTGGGAACATTCGCAGGCTGGTCATACCCATATTGACCCAGATGTTGGACTGGGGGGAGCGCGTGGCCGGCTGCTGGCGGAGGAAGAGGAGGTAGCGGGGGAAGAGCTCCAGCTCTGCTTGACCTGTCTTGCTTTCCAGGATGACCTGCAGAAGAGGAAAGTTATGGCAGCGGAGAAACCCAAGCCCAGAAAGCCCCCCCGACCTGACTGAGCCTCACTTCCTAAAACTGGCAGCTGGTTTCATAGCACAGCCGCCGTTCATTCTGTTTAATCTTTCAACTGAAAACAAGAACATCTCGTCTATTTGGAAATCAGTATCCGTCCTTCCTTTATTAAAAGGAGGCGATCCATCAGTTCTTAACAATTATAGGCAAATTTCTCATTTATATGTTTTATCTAAAATTCTGGATCTCTTGTTTGTGATCAATTGAAAGAGTTCCTCCGTTTAAATTAAATTCTTTCTAAATATCAATCAGGTTTCAGAAAGAAACACAGCAGCACTATTACTGCTACTGGGAAGGTGATAAATGATATAATTATAACACTTGATAAAAACAGGACTGTGCTTCACTCTTTATTGATCTTTTAAAAGCTTCTGACATCATAGACCTGCTATTTTAAAACGCAGCTACTTCTCATTAGCCTGTCAGAGCAGACGGTTGATTGGTTTTCAAATTATCTAGAAAACTGGTCCCAGTGTATCAAATGGGAGGGGCTTTGTTCTGAATCTGTTACTGTTCACAGGGGGGGTACCACAAGGCTCTGTTTTTGGCCCCCTCTTATTTATCTTGTACATCAACAATGTTGAACAAAATGTCTCTGATGCTAATATGCGTTTTTATGCCGATGATAGAGTTATTTATTGCTTTGGGTCGTCTCTTCAACAGGCTATTTATTCCCTACAGAAAGCATTTGTTGCTGCACAGTATTCATTTATTAATCTTAAATTGTTTCTTAATCCTGAGAAAACAAAGTTAATGTTGTTTTCTAGTAATAGCAAGTAGTGTCCACTCTGGAGGGGAATGTCATTGAGGTGGAACATCAATATAAATACCTTGGCATTGTAATTGATGACTCCCTCACCTTCAAACCTTTTATTGATAAACTTGTTAAGAAATTAAAAGTTAAACTGAGCTTCTTCTTTTATAATAAGACATGTTTTTCTTTTGGAGTAAAAGGCGTCTCGTCTCTGCCACCTTTTTTATCAGAATGCTTCTTCTTCATGTCTTCAAATGTTGGACTTTAATTCATCAAATGTTTCCCATAATTCATTAAGGTTCATCACAGACTGTAGAGTCATGACATCACTGGTACCTGTCCTCTCAGGTGGAATGGCCCTCCCTCTCTACCAGAAGGCAGTGTCATTGCTACACGTTTATTTCCGAGGCCCTTCTTGGCTTACTGCCCTGTAACCTTTGTACCTTCCTTCCCCAGTAAAGCACGGCTTCTTCTGCCCTGAGATCCACCATCAGCTGTTGCTCTCTGTTCCTTTTGCCCGACCTTCTATAAAGTCATGAATCTTTAGACACCTGCAGCCCAACATGCAGAGGTCCCAATCCACGGGGCCCCTGGATAGGACGGGGCCCCTGGAGCGGCACCTCTAGAACAATTTCAATCCATTCTGTTCACATGTGAAGAGAAAATTGTGAAGGCCATAGATCCAGACTGTCCGTGTGGTTTTAGTCCCAGAATTCGCTACATCTAGTTTGATGTGATTTGGTTGGGTTTCTGTTAGAGGGGAGGAGCTAACAGGACTAATAAAGCTGTCTGGATGTCAACCTGAAGAGGTCAGCTGATGGTTCTGCTTCGCTGCTCTGTTGGGCTGCGATCTGAGCGGCCGCTGCGCTGCGTTCACTCACCGGTCGAGGCAGGCTCAGGTTGGCACCGTACCAGTGGTAGAGAGCCCGCCACACCGGCTCTGGCACCATCTCAAAGTCTCTGCCAGGAACCAGCTGCAGAGAGCGCCTCAGCCTACCGCCCTCCATGGTTAACGTTGGGGCCTGCGGGGGACAGAGCACAGCAACCACGTAAGCATGGAAGAAAAAAAGCAGAGAAAAGAGGCTGCTGTCGCTTTGGATTACACATGATAGCCTGAGACGGTCTGCTAGAGCTGCAGGCGAGCTGGAAGCCTTCTATTATTACCATAAACACCAGAGATCAATGGCTGCTTCCAGACCAGAAAACACACAGATGGGGATTCAGTCAGCATCTCTGCTAGAAAACCCAAATCAAGCTGCAAAGTGGAACAGCTTTTTAGATCCATATCGCTGCAGACTAATGATTCCTAAATGACTGGAAGGTAAACCAGGGAGGAGGAAGCACAGCTCCTCTTCTCAGAGCCCAAACATGGAAGAAGCAAAGCTGATTAACCCTGTAATGCCAAATGTATCATATTTGATACATACGGTTTCTGAAATGTTTTGCGTCTGACACCTTTTGCATAATTTAATGGTAAAAACTTTGCTCAAAATCAGATTGTACACAATCAGATATACCTGATAACAGAGGGCAGAAGACTACACAAACAAATAATCTTGACTTATCGCATAGTAATAAATTATTAATATCAAAAACGTATTTCTATTTTTTCTTTTTACATATTTTGTTAAAAGGCCAAATAAGGACTTCAAACCAAAAAAAGTAATTTTCTGTTTTGTTTTATTCTTGGATCGGGCTTTAAAGGGTTAAAGCAAAGACGTGTTGGAGAACTGTGGAAAAACTGTGGAAAATCTGAGAAAGTGAAAATGAAATGTGCTAAAAGGGAAATCTGAAAAGTGTGGCGTGCTTTGCTTTGACCCCTTCAGAGCTGCAGCCCCTCAGCCTCTGAAGAAACACTCCTGATGCAGACGTTAGACAGTCAGAGACCTTTCAGCAAAGCAGATGTGTTACAGGTGTTCTACCAAACATCAGATCCATGCGGTCCTCTGGTTTGGATCTAACTTTAAAGGGACGGGAGGGAAATGAGCAAAGATCTTTAAAATGATGTTTCATGTTTGCTCCACTTTGCAGCGATGATCTACTTTCTGTTGGTTTATTAGATTCTTTATGAGAGCCACTGAAATCCAGAGAAGCAAAGTATAAATACTTCCTTACTTAAGTAGAAATGTTGTATATTCTTTACTGCAGTAATTATTCTATAGACAACTTTTTCCTTCTACTCCTTTCATTTTAAATAATAGTCTCCTTAGATTTGTTTCATTTAAGCTGATTTTCATTCTGGCCTGTTGGTATTTAAGAAATAAATAAAAATAATTAGTTTCATCCAGCAAATTTCTTTGTGGTTGGACTCGGTGCTGCCCCAACCTGTTGCTCACCACAAACCAAAATAAATAGTTTTTCCAGATGATGCAAAGTTAAATGTGACGCTGTTACCATTAGTTATAAAACTAAGAAAATGAAGTCTAAGGAAGTTATCATCCAGAATGACAGAAAAATGTTCCTTTAATAGAGTAGAGCAGTAAAGCTTCTGGCTTTAACAGTTTTTCCTTCATTACTTTTATACTTTAAGTAGTTTTAAACACTTTTACTGGAGTAAAAAGCTGAAGTTGATCCTCTAACTTCTCCAAAAGTGTTTTTAAACAGCAGGATTTATTCTGCAGGAATAAAGATGAATATTTGGACATCTCTGTTTACTGATTTACAACTTTTCAAACATTTCATCAAACGCTGGAAGTGAAGGAGAATCGGCTCTGTGACCCAAATGAACCTAAAGCCATCAATCATCAGTCCGGTTCTGCTCAAACAGCTGATCCAGTTCTTCCACTGAGTGTAGAGTGGGAGAGGAGTGCTTGCCTTTATGGGCTCGGTGGTGACCAAGGACTGGTTGTCGATGGCTCCGGGTCTCTGTGCCGTCAGCTGGGAGGGCAGGTGGCCGTTGGCTGCAGAGAAGCACTGATTGTTGTTTTCCGATAGGTTGTGTTGACGGGCGAAGCAGCTCTCTGCTGCTGAGGGAGCGAGCTGAGGACTCAGTGCTGCTGGGGGTGAAGGGAGGAGAGGAGATCAACAACCACAGCAAACACCCTGAAACACGCTCTGAATCAGCAGAACTGTGAAAGCAGCACTGAAGCATAACGCTCATCTGGAAACAGCAGCTAAATAATTCATGTTTCAATGGGAGAAAAACGAGCTGCTCTTAACAGGAAGGAGACATAATTAGCGTTTTAAAGAAAAGCTGGTGTTCCGGGGGACCTCACTACCTCTGTTCTCTCTCTGTCAACCTAACTGGATCTTAGCAGCGGCCTAGTCAAAGTCTGGTTCTACATGGTGGTAGTGGTAGCCTGGAAGCTTCACTGGGGACTTTTAATGGAAGCATGAATTCTTCTCTCAGCAGAGAAGAAGAACGTCTGACCGTCAGTTTATGATTCAATCAATCCTCTTCTGAATGAGCCAATGAAACTAGACCAAGGTTTAAAGTGGCCTAGTCAAAGGCTGGGCTCATTGTGAATGGTGTGCCTTTAACCAGGCATCAATTCTGAGAAACTAAGAAGTTCAGCTGAACTAGAACAGAGAACTGGGTCAGTTATCTGATAGCTCAATGATTCCACCATGAACTGATAGTAACTAAGCTCATATACCGGTAATAATAATAATAATAATAATAATAATAATTTCATTGATCTCGTATTTACCTGTGCATTTAACCCTTTATAGGCCACTGGGTGAAATACATGATAATCTAAATATTTCCATCCAATAGTGTTATTGGAATCCAGGACAAGACCTTATTATCTTTGGAACATTAATAAAATATGGATACTTTGATGGCAAAAATTAATGCCAATGTAATAACAATAAACGGCAACTTGCCCGAATATATTAAGAAAAATAACAAAAGTGCTTCTAAAAGAAATTCATGAAAAACACAGAGAGAAAAACATTTCTTTTTTTGGGGTCCAACATAACCTTAGAGGCATTAATGCTGATACTGGCACTGACATGTTTAGTTTATAAACCTAAATATAATATAAAGAGTGGCAGTCTGTGGGAGTGGGACTCAAACTCAGAACCTCTGGATTCCAAGCTCTATGCCCCCCTGGGCCACCCCTCCCCTAATCCAAAGCTCTAACCAGTGTGGGTCAGAGCTTTGGCTCCAGCTGGAACTGGTTTGAATGACGGCGTGCAGAACAGAAGCGTTTGTCTCCTGATGGTAAAGTTCATCAGGAGCTTCACTGACCGTTCTCTGTTGCTTCTGAGGCACTGGAAACAGCATCCGGGGACTTCTCCTCTGAGGGGCTGGAGGGGCCAAAGGATCCCAGCCCCCCAGGTCTGTCAGGATGCGCCGGCTCCACGGTGGCTGTGGCCATCGGGGCTCTGAGGAAGCTCAGGATGGACGGCTGCTCCACAACGATGCCGTTATGCTCCTGGACAGGAAGACAACAGCGGGGACTGTCCTGTCAGTGTCCAAAGTGGTGAGTGGTTAATGGCGGCTTCCAGACGTCCACAGCTAATGTTCAAGCATGCAACCATAAACCTGCTCAGACAAAACCACTGAAACATGTCAGGAACTCCAACAGCTAAATGAGCTGGAAACACATTTCTGAGGAAAAAGCAGGAGCTGCAGCCCTTTATGGGGTAAATAATGTTCCTTTACAGAGAAACTGAAATCCTTCCTGGTTTGGGTTGACATGCAGCAGATGATCCTGGGGTCTACATGTTTCATTGATTATATAATTTTAGGGTAGGATTTTTAACTGGATGCTAAGAAGCTGGATGATGCAGGCCAGCATTACTGGCCTTATTGCGGGTGGCTGGATGCTATCAGAACATTAGCATCAGCGGGTCAAATGATTTCAACTAAAGCCGGGCGTACACTTTACGATTATCTGCCATTTTCTGGCCCA